ATGACGAGTGTTATTTCCCAAAGCAGTCACAAGTGTTGCTATAACAATATTTCTTATTTTAATTTCAATGTTTTTTAATCTTTATTTATTTCAGTCTTAATAACCACTATCTTTTTGAAATGAGTTTTGTTTTGTATAATTTGTATTTTAATTTAAAAGTATTTTTTGTTAGTTATCTACTAGATAAACAAAAATAACGAATAACATCTGAGGTGACATACTTCAAAACCAGTACGCTGTATACAGCGTCAAAGCAGAATCTGGTTTGTTAAATAAAATAAAATCTAGCCTAAATTAAAGTGAAATATTCACAGTTTCAGAGAAACCTATATAAACCGTTTTCATTGTTAATGACAAAATCATCCATTGCCAGTGAGTTTCAGTTTAATTAGGTTAATCAAGTAATTTGAATAAGCAAACAGGCTTTTACAATGTATTCGCAGCACTCAATGAGTTTCCAGATTACTTCAGAAGAACAGACTCAGTTGGAAGCCTGAAAGAACCCAGAAGCTCATTGTGAGAATGGAGATATCTGCATATTTGTGCCAGTCTGTCAAATAAAATTTCCTAACACACTTTATTATTTTAGAGAAAGTTGTCAAAGTTTGCATAACCAATGATTGAACTGATTGATCCAACCGAGACCCACCCATAAGTAAATATGCTGCCTATTTTTTGATTACCTGACATGCACTCACAGATATAACTGAGAAATTATATGCTCCTTTATGAATCCCCACGACACCCTACGTCAAGGAAATTGTGCCGAAATCCTGACAAAATCATGTGATCTGATCGGGGATTAAGTGAGATGTTAGTCAAATATTCAAGTTAAGAGCAGAAAAGTGATTTGAGTATTCAGTACTAAATTATTTAAATTTTTATTTATATAGTATTAGCCTCAAATTCTAGATGTAATAGATGTATATTACTTGCTTCGATATACTGTAGTAAAGGTCATTGTCAAGCTAAATATTTATGTGCTGAATGGTGTATTGCGTTAGTATCTTGATTCAAATCTTAGCATTATCCTCTACTCTAGCCTTGTTTGTCATTTAACCTCCAGAATTCGATTCCTCTTGTATTCTCAGCTGAGCCGATAAGCCATTGTTTCTGCTGAGGATGTATGTCTGTATTAAACATTGCGTCACGAAGTGCATGTGTTTTCCCCAGTTGTGTGTGTGTGTGTGTGCTCCTAATGCTCCTCTCTGGGTTGTGTGAGCTGCAGATAAAAGGCATTGGATATTTAAAGAGCCTCTCTGTGAGACGCCGCTTATCTCAGTGTTACTGTTAGCCAGCACATCCTCTGTCGCCCGTCTGATATTAATACCCCTCTAATGAGAGAAACAATCACACACACAGTCTCACATACACAAACCTGTGCCACAGCTTCCCAAGGGCCCCCGGATGCACACACAGAGACAAACGCACACCCAATCGCATTAATCAAGGCCGTAGGGACACAGACCCACAAACACAGAGTAAATTACAGCAGGAAAGAGCCATGCTTCAGACCAGCCACTAATGATTTCCCATGAGCTCACAGCACTGGAGCATTAGGGACCAATGTGTGGGAGTCTGGGATTAGATTGGAGAGTGTACAGTACATGCAGGATTGCCATTGATGGTTAGTGTACAATCTATTGGTTGAGTGTGTTAACATGAGCGGAGGAGAGCGCTTGATGTGTTCAGGTTCATGCAGTACTTTTGCTAAATATAGGGACTCTGTCAGGTAAACTGCCGTACGCTTTACAGTAGCTATTTAAAGTTATTTTATTAAGTGGTGCAGAAACTCTACAACATATTTTTACTGCATAATAATTTATAGAAACAATCTACATTATTACATTTTTATTCCCCCCTCCAAATTTTGATGTAAAGTTTCTGGGTGTAAAATAAAAAGTTAAAATATGTTTAATCATTAAATTTATGATTAATCGTGTACCTCATGATCACAGTATTTTTTTTTTAAAGAAATATGGAAATATGACTTTTCTAAATGGATTGATTTCAGTCTGACTTGTTGATGTTATAAGTGGTGGGTTATCTGAAAGTCACAGAAATCTCTAAGAGAGATGTTTGTGGTTTTATGCTGAATAATTAATTCAATCATTTATTTTTCTTCAGCTTAGTCCCTTCATTCATCGGGGGTCGCCACAGCGGAATGAACCGCCAACTTATTCAGCATATGCTTTACACAACACAGACCTAGTTCTGAGAAACATCCATATATACTCATTCACACTCATACACTACGGACAATTTAGCCTACCCAATTCACCTGTATCGCATGTCTTTGGACTGTGGGGGAAACCGGAGTACCGGAGGATACCCTCTTCAACACGGAGAGAACATGCAAACTTCACACAGAAATGCCAACTGGGCCACACAGGATTCGAACCAGCGACTTTGCTGTGAGGCAACAGTGCTAACCACTAAGCCACCGTGCCACCCCCTGATTAATTTAGGGTTCTTTCTAGATCAGACCGGAAGTTAACAAGAATTATTTATTCATTTATTTTCTTGTCGGCTTAGACCCTTTATTAAACTGGGGTCGCCACAGCGGAATGAATCGCCAACTTATCCAGCATGTTTTTACGCAGCGCATGCCCTTCCAGCCGCAACCCATCTCTGGGAAACATCCACACACACACACAGGAAACCAGAGCACCTGGAGGAAACCCATGCGAACGTAGAGAAAACATGCAAACTCCCCACAGAAATGCCAACTGAGCCGAGGTTCGAACCAGCGACCAAGCGACCTTCTTGCTGTGAGACGACAGCACTCCCTACTGCGGCACTGCATCGCCTTGGAATTATTTATAAATTTCCCTATAAATTGTTTTTTTTTTCTACCCCAAATCCAAACCGACCGTCACAGTAATTTAAAAATATCAATTATTGTTATACAGTGTCACAAAAATGATGCTATATTGTGTATCCACAGCTGTATCCTATCTAGACTTAATTTAGCAACAAAAGAATGATTTGTTCCAATAATCAATTTAATGATGCACCTTTAAATAGTCACAGTAATAAAAAAGATCAAAGCTGTGCAAAAAGATCTACACAGAACTTCAGAATTTGAATTTTTGGTCATTTTTAAAATAACAATTTAATAAAAACCTGCGTTGTGTACATAATTTCATCTGCTTGCTGTATATTTATTTTAAATTAAATAAAAAAATTGTTATTTTGACTACACTAATAATTGTTCTGTTGGAGAACGATGCTAAAAATTTGATTTAGTGTGCCGTGTTCATTGACCTTATTCTGCTATGCGGAAGTGGGTTAGTTTTTGCGGTTGTTTTAGATCTTTGGATTTAATTGCCAATGGGAAAAATGACTAGAAAGCAGCAGAAAACTGTCAAACTTGATCTACAAACAAGTGTGTTCATGATACAGATAAAGCAGAATTTATCATTCATTCATTCATTCATTTTCTTTTCGGCTTAGTCTCTTTATTAATTCGGAGTCGCCACAGTGGAGTGAACCGCCAACTTATCCAGCATACGTTTTATGCAGCGGATGCTCTTCCAGCTGCAACTCAGTACTGGGAAACACCCATACACTAAGGCCAATTTAGTTTAAAACAAATTCACCTATATCACATGTCTTTGGACTGTGGAGGAAACCAGAGCATCCAGAGAAAATCCAGTCCAAACACGGAGAACATGCAAACTCAACACATAAATGCCAACTGACCTAGCCGGGACTCAAACCCTCAAGACCTTCTTGCTGTGAGATGATAATGCTAACCACTGAGCCACTCTGCTGCCCATAAAAACAAGGTTTCATAAGTAAAATAATGTGGTAATTGTACAGTCCACAGTGAAAAAAGGTAGCTCTTGCTGTTGTTCGGAATATCAGCACTTGTTTGCTTACCTTAACCAATTTTTGTCTATTTTTTAAGTATACAATAGCCCACATTAGCAATTTTTGTTTGTAGCTTCCATTTGAGCTGTTTGCATTTGAGCATGAAACCCTGTAACCTGAGGAAATACAGGAAAGCGATGGTAGAGAGTGTTGCAGTTCCTGGAATATGTTGCGTCAGGATTACATTTGTGTCAAGACGCTCTGATCTGATCTTCCGCCGTTCGGCTTTTGTCTCTGTCTAGTACTGTGTCTTTTGCTCTTTCTCTTAATCTTGTTCACATACACACTCAAACACACATGCACACATCAACAGTATCTATTTACCCTCCCCTGGGCTGTTTGCTAGTAAGAGCTTCTATTGATCTGCTCTGATAAACATGTCATTTAGCTCAACAGCAGTTTGTCGGTGTATTTGTTGGTGTGTGCAAATTTTATGAATGACTGTAGGCTAAACCCGCTCGTCCCCACCCTCTGATGTCTCCCAACATGTTAAAAAGTTGTTAAACTCAGCTATGAAGATGTCCTTGTACTATCGATCTCATGTCCTGCGTCCCATCGGAATTTCCCATTCGTGTGTTTACCGAGACACACAGATATATTCATTCATGAACAAGCAGGCACAATACGCCACAAGCATTACATGGCAAAATTACGCTCCTAGACCAGCCCCCATGGGAAATTAAACCAGCGGCAAATCATTAAACCACAAGCCAAACATTAAGAGGCATTTGCATTTTTATTGCACCTGAAAGAATGGCAAGACTCCATTATCTCCCACAGCCAGCATGGGAGCGGGGTATTACTGTTATGATGTCGTCCCGTATAAAAACAATAGCATTTAGCGCGCATGAGAAGGGGAACGAGAGGCTTGTTTACTTTCTGCGGAGGGTTATGATTATTGAACGAGCGTCTGACAGACCCAACAATGCCTCGTTTTGTTATGTAAATCCCATTGTCATCCAACTCAAACGAATAAACAAACAGAGGCAATTGTGGCACCGTCAGCCAGACAATTAGCTGAACGGGGTGGAAGTTTTGCTGGGGACAGTTTGTCTCGTTAATTGCTTTCTCAGCTGGACGTCTTCCAGGATTGTGTAAAAGAGTGATTTTTGTCCTGTTTACAGGTGAGCGGAATGTGCGTGCATGCCCCCCCGCGGGTATCCCGGGCCGTGCCGGTGTCTGCTGAACACACATCTGCCTCGACCGTGAACCACAATCGGCCTCCGATGAACTTTGACCCTGATGAGACGCTGTTTGGACGCCGCAGGTATAGTTATGATTCAGTGTTTGGAATATATAATGTTTAACATTCAATACGATTTACACCAATACTCCAAGGATGATTAGCCTACCATAAACATACAGTATATATTATATATAACTAGTGTTGGGGGTAACGCATTACAAGTAACAGAAGTTACGTAATAATATCACTTTAAAAAAAAGTTATAATATTTGAGTTACTTTTTTAAAATATAACTCAAGTTACTTTTCAGATTAATTAATACGCTTTTAAAAGCAACATAGGCTCATTTCGAAAACGTAGCCCATATATGTTTCGGCAGATCGCAATAATGTAGCTAGAACTACGTTTGTCTGCATTTCATTTTTAAAATGAACGCTACGGGGTGGTATGACGTCGTTCCTTTTTCGCTCTTACCAGCTGACCGCTTTCCTCTGTATGGGCGGCTTTCCCGATTTTACCAGTTTTTCCCTTAGCTTGCTATGTACGTCGGCGGACTTTACACACAGAGAGGAGCTGACCATGATTCTGGGGTTCAAGTCCAGAAAGCAGGTAAAACAAAAACAGAAGCCACTAAATAAAATAAACAAGTAAATAGCAGGGTGAGAATGTGGTAAAATCTAAAACATGGTAAAAATCAGAGGGCTTTCTTTTTCTGGATTGCTTTTGAAAATTGTTGGTTGGTTTAGGAAAGTGGGTGAGTGGGTGGGTCAGTCAATACAATTGGTTGGGTTTAGGAAAGGAAGAGGGTGGGGTCAGTCAATCACTCAGTCATACAGTCAGTCAAACAGTGGACAGCGACCTCTGGTGGATTTAGGCAAAAACTGCAGGCGCGAATGGCACTCACGAAAGATATTTTAGATCTGAAAAAGCATACACAGGATTCGCGAAAACAAAAACTGCAGAAAAACCTCCTGGAATGTATTTGGCAGTCTCCAAAAATGTATATAAGGATACATTTTTAGAAAGAACCTGGGTTGTTTAAACAATTGTTTTCTGAATCATACTCAATGAGTAAATAAGCTCCTGTGGGAGCAGATAAAATCAAGAGGGCAGAGCCTTACATTTCTGTGATAGAAGTTTTCTCCTTATTTTGAACACATGGAGGAAAGGGGATTATAGTCTCAATGGACTGTGACTTTACTGAACTAATAAGATATAATGTTGGGGAAGTTCTTCCTACTGAGAACTTCCTGATGCTAGTTAGTTATATACAGTATATGTAGTTATATATGTAACCCATTTATTTCTTTTTAATTTTTTTAAATTAATTTTATTTTATCAATTTGACCGTGTTAATTCAAATATATATTATTAAAAAAAAAACTTGAAATTCTTCTTTCGTAGAGCAAATGCTCACTTTATCCAGTTTTGTGCTTTTGAGCACTGCAGGCCAAACAAATTAAAATTGTGTGATTATAATTATGTGGTATCAGTGTCAGAGTGGTTTGTATGAATACAGTATGATGAAAAATTAATTAGTGTGAGTGATTTTTAGTATTCTTTATTTTTTATGTAACACTGCATCATGACAGAAAGCAATAATAATTTTTTTTTCATTTATAATGTATATATCCTGTATAATATAATGTGTAGATATATAATCAATACTGTCCCTATGCAAACTGCTAAATAATTTTGGTTAATGACTGATACTGTCAAAGAAATCTTTGCCAGTGAAAGCATTTTAAGATATTAATGTTTGATTCTACTTTGGTGTTGTTTTTGAGAGACGTTTAAAGGCACAAGGGGTAAAACAAAACTGATTGTAACTGGCTGTCAATATCTTTTATTCATTCATTCATTTTATTTTCGGCTTTGTCCCATTATTAATCAGGGGTAGCCACAGCGGAATAAACCACCAACTTATCCAGCATATGTTTTACACAGCGGATGCACTTCCAGCTGCAACCCAACACTGGGAAATCAGTATCTTTCTAATATCTGATATAATCTTTCTGAAAGTGACTCCACTGAAATAATTTTTCTGTGCCAATATTGTTAAAGTGACATTGTGACCTATGTATGCCATTCTCTTATATTGTTAAAAAACGGTTAGAAATACATCTTTATTATTCTTGTTGTGACTTGTCAGATCAAGTTAAAGTTTGCAGTGTAAAATTGTAATTTTAATGTGAATGATTTCTATGTATATTTTTTAAAATTGTTTATTAATTTTGTTATTTAAGTCATCAATGTTTAATCACATTGCCATAACCTAAGTGCCCTTTAATAACATATGATATCATAACATATTATGCAAAAATCACTTTTATAAACATAGTCTGTTAAAAATAACCAGCTTCTAATGGTAAAGTTCTTTTTTATATAATTAGACTAATTCACTGTAGTCTGCAAAAACACTCGACATTCTCTCTTTGTACATATCAAATAATAATAATAATAATAATAATAATAATAATAATAATAACAACAATAATAACAATAAAAACAATAATAATTCAGCCAACAGCTATAAATCAGCTGGCAGCTATCTCTGTGCAACTCTCACATGCTTAGAGTCAGTACCTGGATGGGAGCATTAAAAATTCTATGTCCTTCAAAAAAAAAAGTACGGGTGTAAATGTAGCATCCTGGCCAAATTTGCCCACTGGCTTCTGTCCATCATGGCCTCCTAACCATCCTCATGTTCATCACTCTGTTTCCTCTCCACCAATCAGCTGGTGTGTGGTGTGCGATCTGGCAAAATAAGGTGGTGGTGGTGGTCACAGTGGTGGTGAATGAAGAGATTCCCCTCAAAAATGTGTAAAGCGCTTTGAGTGTCAAGAAAAGTGCTATATAAATGTATAGAACTGCATATTCCAGTGGAAAATTTGATACAAATGAAGCTCAAATCTAATTGGATGGCTTATTTCATCACTAGGCGATGAGGGAAAAAATAAATACTGTAAAAATAAATCCTGCTTTGTGGTGCTGCGATTGATTGCGGTGGTGTGAAAAGCTCCATATTTTGATTAATTTAATGAGCAACTGCGCAGTCTATTTCTGACACACTTGTAATACCGACAACAGGACAAAGAGGTATAGAAAGTTTAGCTTGGTGTTAGTATGTTGCAAACCAAGTTTCAGCTGACAAACCTTTTGTGAAAGCAAATGTTTGAGATATATTATTTAGAAATGTCATGAAAAGACTTTTACTTTATGCTTAATTGCCTCAATGATTGTAATGGCTGACCTTGTTATTAAGCAAGAAAGAAAACATTAAGAAAACATTAGCATGACCTCACTACTCTTACATTAAGCTTTTAAAATCAACAATCAGCAGCTGAAAGTGCACACATTCCTGCTGCATTTGAATCTGTTGAGAGTCTTCAAGTGCTATAAACACTCCACTATAAGAGGACTGCAAAGCATCATTGGTAAAGGATTGACAGCAAGTCAATAGAGTGAAAATCTAATAAATGAATAATAAATGTGAGGAAGAGGAATTGCAGGAGTCTGTTCTCATGCACCTCTTCATACAGCTCACATCTTCTGCGGAGAGCATTGACATGCTGTAATAGATTCTCCACTTCAGCTGCTCTGAAACGCTCACTTTCGCTTTTTTCAAGGATTTTCTAAGGATGTCCATTGACCTTTTTGGGGTCTTACAAACTGACTCAAACAGTCTGTGTTTGCGTGATTCTGAGCACAGGACGTCATGCTGTTTTCTACTTGTTTCTCTATCAGAGAAAACATAATCAAAAAGCCTTTAACAATTTAATATCATATTACTGTGTAAGTTGTATGTTTAAATGTTTAAGTAAATGTGTAAAAAATAATGTCTAAAATAATAATAATAATAAAAAAATTATAGTAAAACATGAAATAATAAATAATAATATAATATAATATATAATAATATATTATATTTATATATGAATATATTGTTTTATATAATAATGATAATAATAATAATAATAATAATAATAATAAAAATGTGTAAAAATATGTAAAATTCCCAACTTCTTTGGATTTACTGTATATTGGTATGGGTTACTTAAAATGCTAATGCGGTCATAAAAATATTTCCATTAAGAGAATTTTTTTAGTTTTTAGTTTAGTTTTCTCAAGTCGAGCACTCATATTTCTCGTCATTATCTGTCCTTGTATGAGCGCTGTGCTTGCTCCTGCTTGATGTGGGCGCACAAGGTCCGGGTGTGTTCGGGATGCGCTCTCTTGTCCTTGTGGTTGTGTTTGTTCTGTCTGCATCGTGGTGTTTCATTCTCAGCGTCTCAGTCCAGTTGGTTTTGGTTTTGGTTGCCGCTGGGATGAAACATGCATGTTGCATGTGTGTGTGCACGGTAAGAGTTTTTATTTATTGTGCACTCTTCTTTTGCATTCTGTTTGTGTTGGTGTCTAAGCACGTAGCCTGGTGTCTACAATACATACACAATACAATACTGTGTGATTTAGTGTCATGTTCATCAGAACACACGGTTAATGAGTTCTCTTATTAGCTGCGAATTCTAGTCTTAATTTATGTGAGCACATGGCTTGTGTTGTCTTTTTTTGTCATGTCTGTTGTCTTGTCCCACCCTCCTTGTTAACCAAATATTAGTTTATTTAGATCACCTGTTTTTGTTAATTATTTCTGCTTATAGTCTCCTCATGTCTGCTGTTCTGTGCCAGTTTGTCATTGATTATTCCCTTGTCCTGTCATGTTGTCCAGCCCTGTCCAGCCCTGCTCTTTCCTGCCAGACCAGTTTGTTTGTTTTTGTTTTGGTAATGTTTTACCCCTCTGGGTTGTTTTTGTGCCCTTTTTGTTTTATTTGCATTTTTAATAAACCCAATTAATTTACTGCATTTAAGTCCTCGCTCCCTCATCCATCCTGAGATTGTGACACGAGCGAATAAATGTTAAATCCACTTAAATTTGTAAAAATTATTAAGTTAGGTAAATCAATTGATGTTGGGACAACATGAAAGAATTATGTGGAACTCAACATTTTACAGTGTGATTGTGCTTGAAAATCAGGGTTAAATATTGTTTTTTATGTAAAAAAGCTAAACTTGTTTAACACAAGGATGACACTTAAGAACATTGACATTGCCATTTACAGATTTGTAACTTTTTAAATAACAAATAAATGCTTTGTAACATGTTTATATTTATTGTTTTATAAATGAATAAAATAAATCAATATTTGATTGAATAACCCTGATTTTCCATCAGAACAAACAAGACATCTTCATTCTTTATTTAAGTATTTTAGTGTTATGTTGAAGCATATTGCATAGTTGTACTTACACCGTGTAAAACCTTTATACATACTCAACATTTCAATCATTTTATTTGTAAGGCATATTCAAGGTAACACAAGGAATGTTTCTGACTTCTTAAAGCTGCTAATCAAAAACAAAAATACAAGGAAGAACCAATGAACTGCTGAAAACTTATTTTTATTCCAGTAATTTTTATTCCGTACTTTTCTTGCCATAGATATTTTTACTTTCCATTGTTTTTACATACTGTAACATAATTTCACTATAAATCACAGTTTACAAATATAGTTGCCAAATATATATTTCAGTATTTTAACCAAATGCAGTGTTATCTTGTTCCTATTATACAATAGAGATGGACACTGCTGTTTTGTAACACTTTATCTATATTGGATGCAAGCTGCAGGATGCAACAAGACAAAACACATCAAACCCTATTTAAATCAGTGCTTCTGTCTACATAAATACCTTACAGTAGGTAAATGTCAATAGTTTCTGATTTACAAATTTTTGTGTGCCGCCTAGCTTACTCGTCTTTTAAACACATTCTCTGGCAATGCATTCAATGTATAACTTGTACACTGTAAATCAAAAAGTGGGATTAACAAAACCCATAACCATAATGGCATATTATATTCTTTAATAATGTTCCTAAAGTTAAATCATTATGGTATCTTTGCAAATGATTACTTTATTTTATAAATAATTAAATCAGAAGAATCCATAGTTTGACATACTGTCATAACATTTTCATTTGCAGTTTTAAAATATTATATGTAAAGTGATGCAAGACTGAAATAAGAAATATGCTTCAGACTGACAAAGTTGACAGCTGTTGCCTTAAAATACCCGTTTTAGATCAACTAACTGTGATACTTTATAAAATGTCCATCCAGACTGAGAGCAGAAATCCAGGCTGTGGCTGTCAGTTTTAGAGAAAAGGTGAAAATGTGACACTTCTTTTACTGAGACACTTCACACTCACTTCACTCTCGCTGATGAAAACTTGATGATTTTAGATTTGAAAATGAAAGGGGAAAAAGAAATATATTAACATTATATTTTAATGTATATGTGATATAAAATAATTACCATTTTCTTTAAATCTCACTTTTTTATATAATAGTGTTATTGTAGATTATATATTATTCTATTTACTACTTTATTAAAAACATTATAGGGCAAATGTATTATTATTATTATTTATTCCTAATATTAAATAGTTATCTTTAATGGGTCACATTACTCTAGCACAAACTGACTTCTTGGAAATAAAACATGTCTGTGTCAGGAAACACTAAAATGCAGAACAAAATATTGCTAATAAGACATGAACACAGCTATTTTTGTATGCAGCTATGCATTAGTTGGAGTGTCCGGGTCAGATTTTTTTATGGGAGGAGCGCATTTAAATTAATCACGCAACATGATTTACTAACATTTGCAGTCATTAAATTACGGAAATTTGGGCCATTATTTAATGCCTAAAAACGCATGTCCTAATGGTTGCCCTTGAAGCGGCTGCAGTTGTTGTTGCTAGTATGCAGCGCCGTGGAGAACAGAGAGCACATTGTGTAAGGTAGAATATTTTTTTCTTCACATATTTATTTGTAGCGCAGAACATATAATCTGAAAATAATATGTCAAATCTGTCATTTTTAATTTGCTTGCAAGTTGCAACCAATAACTAGGTTGAGTCACATAATACCAGCACAATCTTAGTTCCCTCATGCGATCAACTCTCCTTTCTCCTAAACTGTCAAAAACACAAACAGTTGTCAAAATGTACATCTTGTGTCACATTTAATAAGCTTGTATATTTTTTGTATATCCTTATTCTTTGGCCAACAAATAAATTAATTAACAGGCATCGATAAAATAAAAATATACTTTTATTCAATGCTTGTACCATAGCTTTTTGTGTTAATTACATTATTTCATGAACTAGGCAAACTTTGACTTGACATAACCCATATTTCCTTTGCAACCTCTACATATTGTCATAACCCCCATTGCCTCCATTAGAGAAAATATATTGGAGATGACCCAAACCTTATGAGCATTGGCTCTGCTTGTTTGCCACTATATGCTAATTTGTACTACACTTATTGTGTTGGTTAATATGTAAATGAGATATAGATCTTTGTTGTTTATTATTGTGCATTGCAAATAAATAATCCAAAGAAATGTTCATGCACAATACTGTTGTGTTGGAATTGCGCACTTGTTCAAATTTGCCCTGTTTAATCTATTATGGCCCTAAATTACTCATGTGCATCCCTGTATTTTATCAAAATATTAATCAAATGCACTGTAAAAATACTGACTGATTTGAAATGACTGTAGAATACATTAAAACATATTTTTTGCTTTTTGTTCATATTACATATTTAAAATGAACTGATACAACACAATTCTTCACAATTCATTTTTTTTTGATAACTTCATTCATTCATTAATTTTCTTTTCGGCTTAGTCCTTTTATTAATCCTGGGCCACCACAGTGGAATGAACCGCCAACCTATCCATTACGTTTTTACGCAGCGGATGCCCTTTAAGCCGCAACCCATCTCTGGGAAGTATCCACTCACACACTCATACAATATGGACATTTAGCCCACCCAATTCACCTGTACCACATGTCTTTGGACTGTTGGGAGCACTCGAAGGAGACCCACGCAAATGCAGAGAGAACATGCAAACTCCACACAGAAACACCAACTGACCCAGCCGAGGCTCAAACCAGCGATCTTCTTGCTGTGAGGCGACATCATTACCTACTGCGCCACTGCGTCGCCTAACTAAATCATTTAATATTTTATTAATTTAATATTTTTTAAATTATTAAGTAAACGAACTATGTGCAAAATTCCTAAAATTAAGCTACCCAGGCTCATTATTGATACGTACCCCTGTATACATTTCCGGACAGTGTGAAATACATTCCAGGAGGTATCTTTTTCTTTCGCAGTTTTTGTTTTTACGAACCCAACAGGCGCCGCTGTGTACAGTTTTTTGGATCTTAAATTTCTGTTGCGAATGCAATCCAAGCCTGCTGTGTTCGAATAAATCTACCTGTGGCTGTTCACTGACTGAGCGAACAACCGAAACCCCCACCCATCCCCTTCCGTAAACCCAACCGATATTGTTTTCAAAAGCACAAACTGACCCTGTTTTACCACATTTTCAGATCTTACCGCGCTTTCACCCTGTTATTTGCTTGTTTATGTTATTTTTTGCCTTTTGTTTATGTTTTATCTGCTTTTTGGAATGTTCTTTGTCGAACTTGAACCACTTCTTCGCAGTCAACTTCTCTCTGCGTCTCAAGTCCAACAATGTAAGCGCCGAGCCACTGGACAAACTAGTAACAGCGGAAAATGCGTCCGGAGGTATGCAGTCAGCTAGTTGCGCGGACAAAAAATAGAAGCCATAGCATTTGTTTTAAAGACATTTGGCTACATAATTCTTGCTCTCCAGCAATGTATAATGGGGTATGTTTTCACAAGGAGCCTGTGTTGAAATAAGTCAACAGTTTCAAGTTAAAATGGGATCATTTTTTTAAGTAAAGTAACCAATAATATCTTTATTGGATGTTGCTTATGCTGTTATCATTAATAATAAGTTCATTCCTCATGTTCATTAGTAACCATGATTCTATGCATGTTATTATAAAATGTTACCAAGGCATCCTTAAATAATAAAAGTTTTAATTTCTTTTACCGACCACAACGTTTTAAAAAGGACTTTATAAAATATGAATCATCTAAAACATAGTTACTAAGGGAAGTTGCTTTCAAACTTTGAGGTGGCACATGTCTGAGTAGGTGGGTGTCTGAGTCGTTGTGTGTGGCAGTTTGTGTATGAGTTGTGTTTGTGTGTTTGGGCTGTTAGCTGAGGTAAGTGTGTGTTCAGGCTGATGGTGACAGAGAGAAGCTCATTAACACAGGCTTTGTCTCCTGCCGTGTGAGTGACATTGAGCTGCCTTCTGCCCCCTCTGTCCTGCACGGTTCCTCTCTCTCGTTCCCTCGCTCTGATGAGCAGGTGAGAGAGTGTGTGTAGGTAATGTCAATTAAAATCAAAGCATCTCAAAGCAACTTAGCCCGACAGGAAATGATATGTAATGGAGTAGATCGTGCTTAACACTGCATTTGACCCCAACTCTATTTTTTTCTCCTGATTCGTCGTTCTTCTTTCTCTAAGCCTCTACATTTTCTCATAAATCCAAGTATTTTGGATTCTTAATCTTGTCTCTTTGTGCACACCATCTAATTTCAATTTTCACTGAAGCCCATTCCTCTTTCTTCTTTCGCCTGCACTCAATACATTCTCAATTTCCTCTCTGTCTGATGCAGGGAGTTTATCTCGGGTCTAAGGGGCTTCAGTCAGTTCTACAGTGGTCTCGGAGAAGCTTTGTGCAGCAAAGAGCCGACATCGCTGAACAGCTCCCTCTGCTGGAACGGACAGGAGATGACAGACAAGTGAGTAATTCATTTGTGGGAGCATTGATGCGATGTAACCTCTACATTCCTTCATTGTGGACTCCTACAGCTCAAAGTAAGGGCATTGATGTTCATTAAAACGTGAGTAAGTTCATTAGGTGGCGTCATTCAGTTTGCAGACATGTAAACTAAGATTAATAGTTCTTCTGTATGCTTGCAGCGGTGCAGAATAACTGTTCCACATCATTGTGGTTACTTTGGAGCCTTGCCAAGGTACATGGCATGTGTAAATAAAAATGAGCGCACAAGGGAATGAGTATAGCCTGATAAATAATTTGGAATAGCTTAAGGTCACATTTAATTTTCAAAGCTCATGTTTTCCCAAGGATTTTTGTCTGTTGGAAGAATTTTTCAGTCTGGTGTCTGATGAAAATATGATTGATGGTAATATAACACGAGTCCAACCAATTGAATGCATTGTACAACATTACTTTTGATTTGGTCGAAAAAATGTGTCAGGTTTGCATAAAGAACTTACTTACAGTGGGGGAAATAAGCATTCAACATATCTTGTTTTTTATTTTTGTTTTTCTGGGGAAAATATTCAAAAGGAGCTGCTTGAAATGAAACCAGATTTTGGTAAAAACCCAAACAATACAAAAAAAACAAAGGAAAAATATGAAAAAATTTGTCATGTGTAATAACAAAATGATGACACAAGGAGAATGCATGAAACTATTAAAATGTACTTTATTTAATATTTCATATAAAAGGCCTTTTGGTGATGGCAGCTTAAAGACACTTCTTATATGAAGAATGAAACAATGCGTTACTCAGGTGTGTTTCTCACAGACTTTAACAGAGTGTAAAACATCTTGATGGTTCTGTGGGTCTCATCTATTAAATCTGAGCTTTATTTTGTATTTTCTATTGGATTCAAGTCAGGTGACTGGTTAGACCATTCTACAACTTGATTTTCTTTCTCTGAAAGTATTTGAGATTTTCGTTGGTTGTGGTTTGGATCATTGTCTTGCTCAAATGTCCACACTGGTTCCACCATTCTGATAATGTAGATGTTGGACTGAAGCAGCTAATATTAATTTACTGATGAAGGGCAGAGGATCGCTGAAGAACAACTGAAATTTCAGCTGCTCTCTGGGCCTTTACTGCCTTTCTACGGTTCCCTTTCTTCATGTGTTCAATACTTTTTTCCTGTATCATTTCATTTTATTTTACATAACTTCATTTGTAAACTAATTATTATTGTTTCTTTGCCTAAATAATTTTTGGGTTGTTACCAACATCTTGTGAATATTTTAAGTCAACAGCACCCTCAGAAATATGCTTTCTGAGAAAAATGGGGATGTGTTGAATACTTATTTGCTATAAAGAACTCAAAAGCTCTTTTACGTGAACACACAAAATAATGCTTTTGTAAAATAGAGAAAACATGGTGCACTTTTTGATGTATACCTGTAGGTCTCTTTGAACGTATTCTGATACTAATTTTATATTAAAACAAAAAGTAGTCTTAAATCTTATATATTATCCAGCTTTACTTTTCTTTACAAGCACCTTTTCACAATATTCACTCTTAAAAATAAGGTTATTCATTGGCATCACTGGTACTTCATTACTGTCGAAAATGTATTTACAGTATAAGATCATCCTCAGTTGAAACTGGGTTCTGGGGGATCTTCCTTAGGTTTAAATTGTGTTACTGGGGATATTCTTTGGCAGAAATCATGTTAGGCGATCCTCCTTGGCTGAAATTGCACTGAGGTGAATCTTCCTGAAGCTGAAAGCAGTTATGGAGATATACTTTGACAGAAATCGGTTTACAGGAGATTCCCCTTGGCTGAAATGCTGTTATGGTGGATCTTCAATTTTACAAGGGATCTTTCTTGGCAGATATCACCATTCAGGTGATATACTTTGGTGGAAATCCCATTTCTAGAGATATACAGTACTTTCAGCCGATTCAAATGTTATCACTTGATTGAATGGGTTTTATCAGTGGTTATCAGCTGATAGATAAGGGCCAGTAGGGGCTTTCTGTGCCTACTGGTAGGCTCAGAAGGCTGTTATCATCTATCCACATGCTTAATCAGCTATAGATCACATACGGCTGCGGCCAGAAATTAACAAGAATTATTTATATTATTTATTAAACTTCCTGTTACTGTATTTTATTAACGTCTACTCCTACCCCAACCATAAACCCAACCGTCTCAGTAATGTAAAAAAAAAATCTGAATCTAGAGTCTTCTCTTTTAGTATAACTGATCAACCAAGTGGATGTGTTGGCCTTCTGAGCCTAACAACAGAAGGCCTCTACTGGCCCATATCTATCAGCTGACATATCCACTGATAGCATCCATTCAATTGAGTAAAACCATTCGAAGCAGGTAGTACTTTGCGTTAAAGTAATTTATCGTCAGGTCATGTCATCTTTATTTCTATTGAGCTTTTTACAATGTGGATTGTGTCAAAGCAACTTCGTAATAATGAAAGATATAAGAAATAGTACAAAAATCCATAATTCAGAGTTTGTTGAACATTCAGAGGACATACCAAGTGTTAGTTAGATAAGCAATGAAACTGCCAGAAATCTAGAGCTTAATTCTGTCATTACCTTAAAAATACAATATTTTTTATTAAATAACCTTTAATTGTAAACGAGTTACTAGAATGCCTGTGAAGGTGCGTACCTCATTTTGTCTGGCAAGCAGGAGAGCAAAGATTTTGTGTTATCAGAAAGTTGCTAAGCAACAGAAGCATATATATTCAAAGGCACTGGAAAAAGTAGTGGATGCTGAAATGCATATGTCAAGGCAGAAATACTCAGAACTCTTTTGTGTTTTGAATTAAATAACAAAGTTATTTAATTACAAAAGTTAAATCCAGTCAAAATGACTGCCTCTGTAGTTCTAGTGCTAAAACTGATTGAGCTAAATTCAATAAAAAGTCACTGTTGAAGGACGATTTACTGAAGAGCATGTCCACTGACTCAAATCAAGCAGGAGAAGTGGCAGAAAGTGGCAAGGAGCCAGAACCTCACTAATAGATAAAAATTGGTTAAAGAACATTTAAAAGCTCACAAAAAAATCCTTGGGTTAAACAAATTCACATAAGGGGTTTCTTCCTCTGCTGAAAGTATTTTTTAGTGGATCTTCTTCTGCTGAACTTGCATTCCAAGTGAGTTCTTCAGACTAAAATAGTTTTCTGCATCAGATTGAAATGCCTTTTTTGTGGTTCCCTTAGGTCTAAAATTGGGTGTATTTCCTTTTGATGAACCAGTGGAAAACACCAGTAGCAACAGTGTAAAAGTACTTGTAAGACCTGCACCATTATAAAGGATCTTGCCTCGCCATAGAATTTTTTTCTATTCAGTATAGCTAGAATGCTATATTGACCAACTGCTCTGTAATATAAGTTATTTCTGGATGAACGAGGCTTTTATCTATTTATGACCCACGCACACTCACTATTAGTGTTTTTATTCTGACAGTTTTTACTAAGTGGGTAAAAGTAGCATATATAACAATAGAATCAACCTCCTAAATGCTTTCCAATATTACTACAATCTCAAAATGGCCCCGAGTAGATATTGCCCCCGAGCTTGTCACAAATCTTGAAGCCTAAAAAGCTTTCTGAATAAACCGGAGACAGCATAAGTGGCTGGTAGCTGAGCGCATGATTGTATATGTGTGTGTGTATCTAATGAGTTTGGCTGACTCCAGTTCAATCTGACAGGCAACAGGGTGTGAATTGTGATGCGGTCTTTGTAGGGTAACTCATGTCAGGTGGTGTGGAGGCTTCCCTGTGCCTGGCTAATTGCACTTTTTCTGTTGTTCGCTCTGTGCCTGGCTCTCCACGTGCCCTTTGGAACCCAATTTAAAAATTGTCATATTTCAGTTCCCTGTGCCCCTCGTGCTTCTGTCCCATAACTCTCGCACTCTCCCACAGTCCAAATCTAGTTAATGTTGGTGAATGACAATAAATCTGAGCATCTCTGACCCAAACAGAAAAGCTTTAAGAGCTTCAGTATCTCATACTAATGACTTGGAAATATCAGCTCCAAACTGAAGTGATCATTAAAGTCAACATGAAATCAAAATGGATTCTATTTACTGTCTAAATGCTCAAGCTCAGTCTTTTGTTTCGTTGGAGCACGTTATTCCAAAGAAATCCTAATCGTTAACCAAAATGTTGTAACTTCCCATTAAATGGTTTTCCTTTTTCACAAATTGTCCACTTGATTATTTAACCAAGTGCCAAATGGCTATTTAGCCATTGTTTTAGTAAATTGTTATTTAGCCAGGCTCCATTCTTGCACTTTTCACCATCCAGTTAATTCCTGTCTTGCATCTTCTTTTTTAATTTTTAGTTTCGCTCACTTTAAGAAAATAAAATGGATTAAATTTTAAGGATCATGTCTGATTTTTTTTAGAAATAATTACCATAAAATTATTTATGCTTAGATTTTTTGAAAATATTTAATATTTTTATATAGCCATTGTTATATTTTCTATTATCTGTACACTGTTAACCTTACCAGGCTTTTTTACAGTGGAATATTATTAACTTTGTTACACTGTTACACTGTTACAGTTACTGTAATTGTTTGGTTCTTATTCCTATTTAAGGCTTAAAAGGCCAAACAGAATCTGCTGACATTTTTTGCGCAGAATTTTGTTAAAAATCTGTGGATTTATGCTGAATGATTTTGGATGTATCATAACAAACTCAATGTATGAAATAAAAAATTGATACCTTTTTAACTAATTTAATGTTTACAATGCAAATCTAATTCGATCTACTTTTTTGGTAAACAAAGTCTGTCATATAATATCTCTCATATAAAGTCTCTCATCAGTATACTAAAAGGCAGATAATATTACGTTACAAACTGTATTGTAAATAAATCAATTTAACATTTTTATATTAGTTAATAATATTACTGAAATTAATTTAAAAACTGAATAAATATAAATTTGCACACAAGTAAATAAAATAGACTCAATGATGGCCTAAAA